TGAGCTACAACCTGGTCTCAGTGAGACAACACTGGACTACAACCTGGTCTCAGTGAGACAACACTGAGCTACAACCTGGTCTCAGTGAGACAACACTGAGCTACAACCTGGTCTCAGTGAGACAACACTGAGCTACAACCTGGTCTCAGTGAGACAACACTGAGCTACAACCTGGTCTCAGTGAGACAACACTGAGCTACAACCTGGTCTCAGTGAGACAACACTGAGCTACAACCTGGTCTCAGTGAGACAACACTGAGCTACAACCTGGTCTCAGTGAGACAACACTGAGCTACAACCTGGTCTCAGTGAGACAACACTGAGCTACAACCTGGTCTCAGTGAGACAACACTGAGCTACAACCTGGTCTCAGTGAGACAACACTGAGCTACAACCTGGTCTCAGTGAGACAACACTGGACTACAACCTGGTCTCAGTGAGACAACACTGGACTACAACCTGGTCTCAGTGAGACAACACTGGACTACAACCTGGTCTCAGTGAGACAACACTGAGCTACAACCTGGTCTCAGTGAGACAACACTGAGCTACAACCTGGTCTCAGTGAGACAACACTGGACTACAACCTGGTATCAGTGAGACAACACTGGGCTACAACCTGGTCTCAGTGAGACAACACTGGACTACAACCTGGTACCAGTGAGACAACACTAGGCTACAACCTGGTCTCAGTGAGACAACACTGAGCTACAACCTGGTCTCAGTGAGACAACACTGGACTACAACCTGGTATCAGTGAGACAACACTGGACTACAACCTGGTACCAGTGAGACAACACTAGGCTACAACCTGGTACCAGTGAGACAACACTAGGCTACAACCTGGTATCAGTGGGACAACACTAGACTACAACCTGGTATCAGTGAGACAACACTGGGCTACAACCTGGTCTCAGTGAGACAACACTGAGCTACAACCTGGTCTCAGTGAGACAACACTGGGCTACAACCTGGTCTCAGTGAGACAACACTGGGCTACAACCTGGTCTCAGTGAGACAACACTGAGCTACAACCTGGTCTCAGTGAGACAACACTGGGCTACAACCTGGTCTCAGTGAGACAACACTGGGCTACAACCTGGTCTCAGTGAGACAACACTGAGCTACAACCTGGTCTCAGTGAGACAACACTGGGCTACAACCTGGTCTCAGTGAGACAACACTGGGCTACAACCTGGTCTCAGTGAGACAACACTGAGCTACAACCTGGTCTCAGTGAGACAACACTGGGCTACAACCTGGTCTCAGTGAGACAACACTGAGCTACAACCTGGTCTCAGTGAGACAACACTGGACTACAACCTGGTACCAGTGAGACAACACTAGGCTACAACCTGGTCTCAGTGAGACAACACTGAGCTACAACCTGGTCTCAGTGAGACAACACTAGACTACAACCTGGTCTCAGTGAGACAACACTGGACTACAACCTGGTATCAGTGAGACAACACTAGACTACAACCTGGTCTCAGTGAGACAACACTGAGCTACAACCTGGTCTCAGTGAGACAACACTGAGCTACAACCTGGTCTCAGTGAGAGGACACTAGACTACAACCTGGTATCAGTGAGACAACACTAGACTACAACCTGGTCTCAGTGAGAGGACACTAGACTACAACCTGGTCTCAGTGAGACAACACTAGACTACAACCTGGTCTCAGTGAGACAACACTAGACTACAACCTGGTCTCAGTGAGACAACACTGGACTACAACCTGGTATCAGTGAGAGGACACTGGACTACAACCTGGTATCAGTGAGACGACACTAGACTACAACCTGGTCTCAGTGAGAGGACACTAGACTACAACCTGGTCTCAGTGAGACAACACTAGACTACAACCTGGTCTCAGTGAGAGGACACTAGACTACAACCTGGTCTCAGTGAGAGGACACTAGACTACAACCTGGTCTCAGTGAGACAACACTAGACTACAACCTGGTCTCAGTGAGACAACACTAGACTACAACCTGGTCTCAGTGAGAGGACACTGGACTACAACCTGGTATCAGTGAGACGACACTAGACTACAACCTGGTCTCAGTGAGACAACACTAGACTACAACCTGGTATCAGTGAGAGGACACTAGACTACAACCTGGTCTCAGTGAGACAACACTAGACTACAACCTGGTCTCAGTGAGAGGACACTAGACTACAACCTGGTCTCAGTGAGACAACACTAGACTACAACCTGGTCTCAGTGAGACAACACTAGACTACAACCTGGTCTCAGTGAGAGGACACTGGACTACAACCTGGTATCAGTGAGACGACACTAGACTACAACCTGGTCTCAGTGAGACAACACTAGACTACAACCTGGTCTCATTGAGAGGACACTAGACTACAACCTGGTCTCAGTGAGAGGACACTAGACTACAACCTGGTCTCAGTGAGAGGACACTAGACTACAACCTGGTCTCAGTGAGACAACACTAGACTACAACCTGGTCTCAGTGAGAGGACACTAGACTACAACCTGGTCTCAGTGAGAGGACACTGGACTACAACCTGGTCTCAGTGAGAGGACACTAGACTACAACCTGGTCTCAGTGAGACAACACTAGACTACAACCTGGTCTCAGTGAGACAACACTGAGCTACAACCTGGTCTCAGTGAGACAACACTGGACTACAACCTGGTCTCAGTGAGACAACACTGGACTACAACCTGGTCTCAGTGAGACAACACTGGACTACAACCTGGTATCAGTGAGACAACACTGGACTACAACCTGGTCTCAGTGAGACAACACTGGACTACAACCTGGTCTCAGTGAGACAACACTGGGCTACAACCTGGTCTCAGTGAGACAACACTGGACTACAACCTGGTCTCAGTGAGACAACACTAGACTACAACCTGGTCTCAGTGAGACAACACTGGACTACAACCTGGTCTCAGTGAGACAACACTGGACTACAACCTGGTCTCAGTGAGACGACACTAGACTACAACCTGGTCTCAGTGAGAGGACACTAGACTACAACCTGGTCTCAGTGAGACAACACTAGACTACAACCTGGTCTCAGTGAGAGGACACTAGACTACAACCTGGTCTCAGTGAGACAACACTGGACTACAACCTGGTCTCAGTGAGAGGACACTAGACTACAACCTGGTCTCAGTGAGACAACACTGGACTACAACCTGGTCTCATTGAGACAACACTGAGCTACAACCTGGTCTCAGTGAGACAACACTGAGCTACAACCTGGTCTCAGTGAGACGACACTAGACTACAACCTGGTCTCAGTGAGACAACACTGGACTACAACCTGGAATCAGTGAGAGGACACTAGACTACAACCTGGACTCAGTGAGACAACACTAGACTAAAACCTGGTCTCAGTGAGACAACACTAGACTACAACCTGGTCTCAGTGAGACAACACTAGACTACAACCTGGTCTCAGTGAGACAACACTGGACTACAACCTGGTCTCAGTGAGACAACACTAGACTACAACCTGGTCTCAGTGAGACAACACTGGACTACAACCTGGTCTCAGTGAGACAACACTGAGCTACAACCTGGTCTCAGTGAGACAACACTGGACTACAACCTGGTATCAGTGAGACAACACTAGACTACAACCTGGTCTCAGTGAGAGGACACTAGACTACAACCTGGTCTCAGTGAGACAACACTAGACTACAACCTGGTCTCAGTGAGACAACACTGGACTACAACCTGGTCTCAGTGAGACAACACTGGACTACAACCTGGTCTCAGTGAGACAACACTGGACTACAACCTGGTCTCAGTGAGACAACACTAGACTACAACCTGGTCTCAGTGAGACAACACTGGACTACAACCTGGTCTCAGTGAGACAACACTGGACTACAACCTGGTCTCAGTGAGACGACACTAGACTACAACCTGGTCTCAGTGAGAGGACACTAGACTACAACCTGGTCTCAGTGAGACAACACTAGACTACAACCTGGTCTCAGTGAGAGGACACTAGACTACAACCTGGTCTCAGTGAGACAACACTGGACTACAACCTGGTCTCAGTGAGAGGACACTAGACTACAACCTGGTCTCAGTGAGACAACACTGGACTACAACCTGGTCTCATTGAGACAACACTGAGCTACAACCTGGTCTCAGTGAGACAACACTGGACTACAACCTGGTCTCAGTGAGACAACACTGAGCTACAACCTGGTCTCAGTGAGACGACACTAGACTACAACCTGGTCTCAGTGAGACAACACTAGACTACAACCTGGTCTCAGTGAGACAACACTAGACTACAACCTGGTCTCAGTGAGAGGACACTAGACTACAACCTGGTCTCAGTGAGAGGACACTAGACTACAACCTGGTCTCAGTGAGACAACACTGGACTACAACCTGGTCTCAGTGAGAGGACAAAAAACGAAAGAAGAAGAACACAGATTACAGAATCATATTAAAATGTTGAAAACAGGTAACATGAATGTGTGTATAATATTGAATACATATTACATGAACATATATGTAATGTTGAATTCAAATTACATGAACAAATTGTAATGCTGCATAGTGAATATTAAGTCTGCAGAAGAGTAGATTTGAATTTAAGACATCATGGTTAGGTTTAGCACAACATTTGCCTGACTGACTTACTGATAGATGGACTCACTGATTGACTGACTCACTGACTTACTGATTGACTGACTCACTGACTGACTGACTCACTGATAGACAGACTCACTGATTGGCTGACTTACTGATTGACTGACTCACTGATTGACTGACTTACTGATAGACAGACTCGCTGATTGACTGACTTACTGATTGACTGATTCACTGATTGACTGACTCACTGATTGACTGAATGAGATTGGGGTTATGTTTCTCCATCAGTTTTTCAGATATTTATTTGTCACTAGATGCTAACATGATGTCTGGACAGAATCATGTCTCAGTCAACTTGAATTGGATACAAACAAAACAGAATGTTATCTGGGCCATACCGTCAGTTGACTGTCCTGAATGTGTTGTCTGGGAGAGCAGGTGAACTGCGACTGTCCCTGGGCAGTGAGAGAACATGAGCAGTACTGGGCTGGAGGCTTCTCCTGGATCTGCTTTGGTGCAGCTAAAAACAAGCTGGCTGATCCGGCCACTCTGCCAAACACAGGGGAAGATCATGGTGAGAAAGGGGGTTATGGTGGGATTTAACATCTACATCAACAATGTATACAATGTATTAGATTCTGTGTACTGTCTGGTTGTTCCATCTGCATCATTGATGTATACAATGTATTAGATTCTGTGTACTGTCTGGTTGTTCCATCTGTATCATTGATGTATGTAATATATTTGATTATGTGAACTGTCAGGTCTCACTGTCAGCTTCAGCAAGGAACTAGATGTGTACTGAGTGTACCTTAGCTTCAGCAATGTACAAGATTATGTGTACTGTCTGATTGTACCTCAGCTTCAGCAATGTACTAGATTATGTGTACTGTCTGAGTGTACCTCAACTTCAGCAATGTACACGATTATGTGTACTGTCTGAGTGTACCTCAGCTTCAGCAATGTACTAGATTATGTGTACTGTCTTGTTGTACCTCAGCTTCAGCAATGTACTAGATTATGTGTACTGTCTGAGTGTACCTCAGCTTCAGCATTGTACTAAATTATGTGAACTGTCTGGTTGTACCTCAGCTTCAGTAATGTACTAGATTATGTGAACTGTCTGAGTGTACCTCTAGGGAACATTGCTTGATTTCGCTAAAAAATCTATCTACTTTATCGTATCAAAAACAGATTCCATAATAAACCACTCATCTTGTATAATTTTAAGAAATTTTAAATATATGCATATCCTTGCATAACCACGAGAGAGTGAATGTAGCCAGAACAACTACCAACGCAGATGCTACACACAAAATATCTAAAAATGAAACTAATAGATCACCCTAGGCGAAGATGGATTGATAGCATTGCTAGAGGTTGCGGGTTCAATCCCAGTAAGGGCTGGGACTTTTTCGTGTGGACTTGGACTTCTTGTAATTCCTCTGATTCTCTGGGTAGTGAGTTAGGATGCCCGTGTGAATTGCTGCGCACGTAAAATATCCCTTGGCAATTGGAAATCAGAAAGAGTAGCATAACGGTGCTGCCCAGGCAAAATTTGGAGTTTAAAATCTAACCAAAGTATTTCAGGATTCTTGCTGGTGCTACAGAGCCTGCACACTGTGTTGAGCTTTTTCAGACTAAATTTGCGTATAAAAAACCAGAAGAGTAAACAAAAAGCTGGGGTTGGTTCTGCATCATCCTGCAAATGATACGCAACTAACTCATAATGTACTAGCTAATATACATAAATAGTTGCACACACATATAGCATAAGTCAAAATACACATAAAAAAACTAATCATGAGCTGGTGTAAGTCATGTCTACTGCATTTGCATGAAACAAGGACATACATACAGGTGTAACACATGCCTCAATATTAGTGTCATCAATACCTACACATAGGTGTAACACATGCCTCAATATTAGTGTCATCAATACCTACACATAGGTGTAACAAATGCCCCAATATTAGTGTCATCAATGCCTACACACAGGTGTAACAAATGCCTCAATATTAGTGTCATCAATGCCTACACATAGGTGTAACAAATGCCTCAATATTAGTGTCATCAATGCCTACACATAGGTGTAACAAATGCCCCAATATTAGTATCATCAATGCCTACACATAGGTGTAACACATGCCTCAATATTAGTGTCATCAATGCCTACACATAGGTGTAACAAATGCCCCAATATTAGTATCATCAATGCCTACACATAGGTGTAACACATGCCTCAATATTAGTGTCATCAATGCCTACACATAGGTGTAACAAGATCCCCAATATTAGTATCATCAATGCCTACACATAGGTGTAACACATGCCTCAATATTAGTGTCATCAATGCCTACACAAAGGTGTAACAAACGCCTACACACAGGTTTAACACATGCCTCAATATTAGTGTTGTCAATGCCTACACATAGGTATAACACATGCCCCAATATTAGTGTCATCAATGCCTACACACAGGTGTAACAAACACCTACACACAGGTGTGACACATACCTCAATATTAGTGTCATAAATGCCTACACATAGGTGTAACACATGCCTCAATATTAGTGTCAAAAATGCCAACACATGGGTGTAACAAATGCCCTAATATTAGTGTCATCAATGCCTACATAGGGGTGTAACAAATGCCTACATACCTCCAAGACTCTGTGAAAGCTACAGGTACACAATGCACACCTGCTGGACAAACTGGGCTCACTTGTCCATCGCTGTGTGTGAAGTCGTTTTCTGGAAATATCACCACAATGTAAATGTTTTCGGTTTCCCAACATTACCAAAATCAATCTCATACACTGGACAAATAACCAGCTGGTGAACAAGCCTCACAGGCAGGCATGTCGATACAAATATTTAGGAGGCTGAAAAGTGAGGGGGGTGCTTCAAGGAACCTTAGTTCTCAGATTTAGGAGGCTGGAAAAAAAATGGGGGGGGGGGGGGGGCTTTAAGGAACCTTATTTCCCAGATTCAGCAGTCTATGCTAACAGGCTCTATTTAATTTGTTGGTCTCATAAAACAGAAGGCTGAAAGATGGAGAAACATCTGATGACAGTAGACATTTGGTTTCCTGAGAAAAATAGACAAGGTAGCAACGTCAGAGAGAAAGAGAGAGAGAAAGAGAAAGAGAGAGGGAAGGAGAGAGGGAGATATTGTGAGGTGAAACTGAGGTAGCACACTCACAGAGATAGTGTGAGAGAGAAAAAGAGACACAGAGAGAGAGAGAGAGAGAGACAGACTGAGAGAGAGAGAGAAAGAGAAAGAAAGAGAGAGAGAGAGAGCAAGAGAGGTTTGAGCAAGTCCTTCCAGAAACAGATAAAAACTGACAATAGATTTAGGATAAATGATTAGGAGTGTTAGTCACATTATGAGTGAAAATGAATGACACATTAGCTAAATATGGAATTTAATATAAAAAGAGCTACTGAAAAACAAAGAGATAAATATCTGGATAGTTTGGTCACATATGCATCAATGAGGAAAAGGACACAGGGTTGATCTGAGACTCTAGTAATCATGTAAAACTGGAACATAAAACTCCTTAATATTATCACTTTGTAAAAGATGATGATGATGACAGAAGCCTAAACATAGAAGAGATACTACAAACAATAGAGTGGACATGCTCAGTACAAACAGAAGAGTTGACATGTTCAGTACAAACAGAAGAGTTGACATGTTCAGTACAAACAAAAGAGTGGACATGTTCACCTCAAATAATAGCGTGAACATTTCACTACAAGCTAAACAGTAGACATGTTCCTTACAAACAGTAGAGTGGACATGTTCAGTACAAACAGTAGAGTGGACATGTTCTCTACAAACAAAAGAGTGGACATATTTAGTACAAACAGTAGAGTGGAGATGTTCAGCGCAAGCAATAAAAGTGGACATATTTTTCACAAACAAAAGAGTGGACATGTTTAGTTTTTGTGGTGTGGCGACTAACTCTTGACACTTGTGTCTGTGGTGCAAGAGCTGAGATATAGGTTTTCACTGACAGAAATAAGCTTTTGCTGGGCTTCAACTCTCATGGAGTAGGAGAAATTAGCAGATGGCAAGCAACAAAGTGAAACAGACCTGGAATGAAGAGACATGAACATATGGCAAGCAACAAGGTCAAACAAAGCAAGCAACAAGGTCAAACAAACCTGGAATGAAGAGACATGAACAGATGGCAAGCAACAAGGTCAAACAAAGCAAGCAACAAGGTCAAACAAACCTGGAATGAAGAGACATGAGCAGATGGCAAGCAACAAGGTCAAACAAAGCAAACATCAAGGTCAAACAAAGCAAACAACAAGGTCAAACAAAGCAAGCAACAAGGTCAAACAGGCATGGAATAAAGAGACATGAACAGATGGCAAGCAAGAAGGTCAAACAAAGCAAGCAACAAGGTCAAACAAAGCAAGCAACAAGGTCAAACAAAGCAAGAAAAAAGGTCAAACAAAGCAAGCAACAAGGTCAAACAAAGCAAGCAACAAGGTCAAACAAAGCAAGCAACAAGGTCAAACAAAGCAGGCAACAAGATCAAACAAAGCAAGCATCAAGGTCAAACAAACCTGGAATGCCATCGTTGGTGCCGCAAATGCCACTGGCCAGGTTTCTGTCATAGGCTGGAGTCTGGATGTACAGGTTCATGTACCAGGTTGCAATGTCAATCTTGATCTCAGATCAAATAGAATTCTTCAGATGGGTGCTAGAGGCACAGCTCTGTGACAATCAGACAAGTGCTGGGTGCTAGAGGCACAGCTCTGTGACAAGCAGACAAGTTCAGGGTGCTAGAGACACAAGTCTGTGACAATCAGACAAGTGCTGGGTGCTAGAGACACAAGTCTGTGACAATCAGACAAGTGCTGGGTGCTAGAGACACAAGTCTGTGACAATCAGACAAGTGCTGGGTGCTAGAGACACAAGTCTGTGACAAGCAGACAAGTGCTGGGTGCTAGAGACACAAGTCTGTGACAAGCAGACAAGTGCTGGGTGCTAGAGACACAAGTCTGTGACAAGCAGACAAGTGCTGGGTGCTAGAGACACAAGTCTGTGACAATCAGACAAGTGCTGGGTGCAAGAGACACAGCTCTGTGACAAGCAGACAAGTGCTGGGTGCTAGAGACACAGCTCTGTGACAATCAGACAAGTGCTGGGTGCTAGAGACACAAGTCTGTGACAAGCAGACAAGTGCTGGGTGCTAGAGACACAGCTCTGTGACAATCAGACAAGTGCAGGGTGCTAGAGACACAGCTCTGTGACAAGCAGACAAGTGCTGGGTGATAGAGACACAAGTCTGTGACAATCAGACAGGTGCTGGGTGCTAGAGACACAAGTCTGTGACAATCAGACAGGTGCTGGGTGCTAGAGACACAAGTCTGTGACAATCAGACAGGTGCTGGGTGCTAGAGACACAAGTCTGTGACAAGCAGACAAGTGCTGGGTGCTAGAGACACAAGTCTGTGACAATCAGACAGGTGCTGGGTGCTAGAGACACAAGTCTGTGACAATCAGACAGGTGCTGGGTGCTAGAGACACAAGTCTGTGACAAGCAGACAGGTGCTGGGTGCTAGAGACACAAGTCTGTGACAAGCAGACAAGTGCTGGGTGCTAGAGACACAAGTCTGTGACAATCAGACAAGTGCTGGGTGCTAGAGACACAAGTCTGTGACAATCAGACAAGTGCTGGGTGCTAGAGACACAAGTCTGTGACAAGCAGACAAGTGCTGGGTGCTAGAGACACAAGTCTGTGACAGGCAGACAGGTGCTGGGTGCTAGAGACACAAGTCTGTGACAATCAGAAAAGTGCTGGGTGATAGAGACACAAGTCTGTGACAATCAGACAAGTCCTGGGTGCTAGAGACACAAGTCTGTGACAAGCAGACAAGTCCTGGGTGCTGGAGACACAGCTCTGTGACAAGCAGACAGGTGCTGGGTGCTAGAGACACAAGTCTGTGACAAGCAGACAAGTCCTGGGTGCTAGAGACACAAGTCTGTGACAAGCAGACAAGTCCTGGGTGCTAGAGACACAAGTCTGTGACAAGCAGACAAGTGCTGTGTGCTAGAGACACAAGTCTGTGACAAGCAGACAAGTCCTGGGTGCTAGAGACACAAGTCTGTGACAAGCAGACAGGTGCTGTGTGCTAGAGACACAAGTCTGTGACAAGCAGACAGGTGCTGGGTGCTAGAGACACAAGTCTGTGACAAGCAGACAGGTGCTGGGTGCTAGAGAGTCAGGTACTCAGATGGTCCCTGGATTGGGTTGTATGGCAGAAACAGATGATGATTAACTCTTTGAGTCCCAAGGAACGCATCATATGTTCATAGGTTACTGCCTAGAAGCCCAATAAACGCATGATGCGCCGATTTTTGTTTCTTTTGACTACCCCTTGGGCCTGTGATGCTAAAACCCTCTGGGACTCAAAAAGTTAATGGTAGAAAATAAAAACATTTTGGTTTGTCAAAACGATAATCTCTGCTACTCAGCTTGGCACTTGATGTTGTGAAAACATGTAAACATGTAATAGCTTGTTTATACTGCCTTATCAGTGTAAAAATACTGTTCTGTTTTACATCCTCTCTAACACATACTGACCACCTGAGGAGGCTAAGAGACATGAGGAAGAGAAACATAAACTGACCACCTAAGGAGGCTAACAGACATGAGGAAGAGAAACACATACTGACCACCTGATGAGGAGAGACATGAGGAAGAGAAACACATACTGACCACCCGAGGAGGCTAAAAAACATGAGGAAGAGAAGAGAAACACATACTGACCACCTGAGGAGGGTAAAAGACATGAGGAAGAAAAACACATACTGACCACCTGAGGAGGCTAAGAGACATGAGGAAGAGAAACACATACTGACCACCTGAGGAGGCTAAGAGACATGAGGAAGAGAAACATAAACTGACCACCTGAGGAGGCTAAGAGACATGAGGAAGAGAAACACATACTGACCACCTGTGGAGGCTAAGAGACATGAGTAAGAGAAACATAAACTGACCACCTGGGGAGGCTAAAAGACATGAGGAAGAGAAACACATACTGACCACCTGAGGAGGCTAAAAGACATGAGGAAGAGAAGAGAAACACATACTGACCACCTGAGGAGACTAAGAGACATGAGGAAGAGAAACACATACTGACCACCTGGGGAGACTAAGAGACATGAGGAAGAGAAACACATACTGACCACCTGGGGAGGCTAAGAGACACGAGGAAGAGAAACATAAACTGACCACCTGAGGAGGCTAAGAGACATGAGGAAGAGAAACACATACTGACCACCTGAGGAGGCTAAGAGACATGAGGAAGAGAAACATAAACTGACCACCTAAGGAGGCTAACAGACATGAGGAAGAGAAACACATACTGACCACCTGATGAGGAGAGACATGAGGAAGAGAAACACATACTGACCACCCGAGGAGGCTAAAAAACATGAGGAAGAGAAGAGAAACACATACTGAGGAGGGTAAAAGACATGAGGAAGAGAAACACATACTGACCACCTGAGGAGGCTAAGAGACATGAGGAAGAGAAACACATACTGACCACCTGAGGAGGCTAAGAGACATGAGGAAGAGAAACATAAACTGACCACCTGAGGAGGCTAAGAGACATGAGGAAGAGAAACACATACTGACCACCTGAGGAGGCTAAGAGACATGAGTAAGAGAAACATAAACTGACCACCTGGGGAGGCTAAAAGACATGAGGAAGAGAAACACATACTGACCACCTGAGGAGGCTAAAAGACATGAGGAAGAGAAGAGAAACACATACTGACCACCTGAGGAGACTAAGAGACATGAGGAAGAGAAACACATACTGACCACCTGGGGAGACTAAGAGACATGAGGAAGAGAAACACATACTGACCACCTGGGGAGGCTAAGAGACACGAGGAAGAGAAACATAAACTGACCACCTGAGGAGGCTAAGAGACATGAGGAAGAGAAACACATACTGACCACCTGAGGAGGCTAAGAGACATGAGGAAGAGAAGAGAAACACATACTGACCACCCGAGGAGGCTAAGAGACATGAGGAAGAGAAGAGAAACACATACTGACCACCTGAGGAGACTAAGAGACATGAGGAAGAGAAGAGAAACACATACTGACCACCTGAGGAGACTAAGAGACATGAGGAAGAGAAACACATACTGACCACCTAAGGAGGCTAAGAGACATGAGGAAGAGAAACACATACTGACCACCTGGGGACGCTAAGAGACATGAGGAAGAGAAACATAAACTGACCACCTGAGGAGGCTAAGAGACATGACGAAGAGAAACATAAACTGACCACCTGAGGAGGCTAAGAGACATGAGGAAGAGAAACACATACTGACCGCATGTGGAGGCTAAGAGACATGAGGAAGAGAAACACATACTGACCACCTGTGGAGGCTAAGAGACATGAGGAAGAGAAACATAAACTGACCACCTGAGGAGGCTAAGAGACATGAGGAAGAGAAACACGTACTGACCACCTGAGGAGGCTAAAAGACATGAGGAAGAGAAGAGAAACACATACTGACCACCTGAGGAGGCTATAAGACATGAGGAAGAGAAACACATACTGACCACCTGGGGAGGCTAAGAGACATGAGGAAGAGAAATATAAACTGACCACCTGTGGAGGCTAAAAGACATGAGGCAGAGAAACACATACTGACCACCTGAGGAGGCTAAGAGACATGAGGAAGAGAAACACAAACTGACCACCTGGCGAGGCTAAGAGACATGAGGAAGAGAAACACATACTGACCACCTGAGGAGGCTAAGAGACATGAGGAAGAGAAACATAAACTGACCACCTGAGGAGGCTAAGAGACATGAGGAAGAGAAACATAAACTGACCACCTGAGGAGGCTAAGAGACATGAGGAAGAGAAACATAAACTCACCACCTGAGGAGGCTAAGAGACATGAGGAAGAGAAACATAAACTGACCACCTGAGGAGGCTAAGAGACATGAGGAAGAGAAAAACATACTGACCACCTGAGGAGGCTAAGAGAAATGAGGAAGAGAAACACATACTGACCACCTGAGGAGGCTGAAAGACATGAGGAAGAGAAGAGAAACACATACTGACCACCTGAGGAGGCTAAGAGACATGAGGAAGAGAAACACATACTGACCACCTGGGAAGGCTAAGAGACATGAGGAAGAGAAACATAAACTGACCACCTGAGGAGGCTAAGAGACATGAGGAAGAGAAACATAAACTGACCACCTGAGGAGGCTAAGAGACATGAGGAAGAGAAACACATACTGACCACATGTGGAGGCTAAGAGACATGCGGAAGAGAAACACATACTGACCACCTGTGGAGGCTAAGAGACATGAGGAAGAGAAACATAAACTGACCACCTGAGGAGGCTAAAAGACATGAGGAAGAGAAACACGTACTGACCACCTGAGGAGGCTAAAAGACATGAGGAAGAGAAGAAAAACACATACTGTACCACCTGAGGAGGCTAAGAGACATGAGGAAGAGAAACACATACTGACCACCTGGGGAGGCTAAGAGACATGAGGAAGAGAAACATAAACTGACCACCTGAGGAGGCTAAGAGACATGAGGAAGAGAAACACATACTGACCACCTGAGGAGGCTAAGAGACATGAGGAAGAGAAACACAAACTGACCACCTGGCGAGGCTAAGAGACATGAGGAAGAGAAACACATACTGACCACCTGAGAAGGCTAAGAGACATGAGGAAGAGAAACATAAACTGACCACCTGAGGAGGCTAAGAGACATGAGGAAGAGAAACATAAACTGAGCACCTGAGGAGGCTAAGAGACATGAGGAAGAGAAAAACATACAGACCACCTGAGGAGGCTAAGAGACATGAGGAAGAGAAACACATACCCCAACATGGCTGCTGTCACCCGATCTCTTGACCACAGTGCCTTGACTGAGTGTGTAGGGAATATCCATGGTTGACATCTTGAGAGCCCGGGGATTGTTACATCCATTCAATCTGAAACACAAGTTTTCTTGATAGAGATGATTTCAGAACAGTACTGACAATTATTTGTTCCTTTTGTAACAATTAATTGATAATTATCAGCCGTTACTAGCACACTTATAATATGTCTGCAAATTTTTAATCTTTCTGATGATAGATATTTACATAAACAGACAACCAATTAGTCGACCAGGCAGCCAACCACTCAGCCAACCAGCCAGCCAACCACTCAGTCAACCAGTCAGGCAAACTCTCAGTCAACCAGCCAGCCAACCACTCAGCCAACCAGCCAGCCAACCACTCAGTCAACCAGCCAGCCAACCACTCAGCCAACCAGCCAGCCAACCACTCAGTCAACCAGCCAGCCAACCACTTAGTCAACCAGCCAGCCAACCACTCAGTCAACCAGCCAGCCAACCACTCAGTCAACCAGCCAGCCAACCACTCAGTCAACCAGCCAGACAATCACTCAATCAACCAGGCCGCCAACCACTCAGTCAACCAGGCAGTCAACCAGGCAGCCAGTCACTCAATCAACTAGGCAGCCAACCACTCAATCAACCATGCAGCCAACCACTTAATCAACAAGGCCGCCAGCCAATCCCTTTGCCAACCAGCTGTACTGCCCCATTCTGGATAACAGTAAAAGGAGCTGAGATGGCAAAAAAGAAAATAGATAGTGAGAATGGGAAAGGGTAGGAAGAGGGGGTGAGGAAGGAAACTGAGAGTTGGATAAAATGGCCAGTACCTGATGATGTCATTCTGTTCTCTGACAACCACACCACAGATGCAGGTGACAGTGGCGCCACACTGGTAGGTTCGAATCTGCACCATAAAGTTTCTGTTGTGAACAGCGTAGACGGTGTAGTCTCCTGTCTGGTAGAGGTGGTACGAATGCCTGATGGACCATATCAGAGCATTGTTAGCGTGTCAGTGTAGACTATAAATAGAGTGTATGTTGTCTTTAGTCACACATACAACAACACTGTTCAAACACCACTAGATTCACATCCAAAACTGCACACCACTAGGTTAACATCCAACACTGCACTTCACTAGGTTCACATTTAACACTGCACACCACTAGATTCACATTTAACACTGCACACCACCAGATTCACATTTAACACTGCACACCACTAGGTTCACATCCAACACTGCACACCACTAGATTCACATTTAACACTGCACACCACTAGGTTCACATCCAACACAGCACACCACTAGGTTCACATCCAACACTGCACACCACTAGGTTCATATCCAACACTGCACACCACTAGATTCACATTTAACACTGCACACCACTAGGTTCACATCCAACACAGCACACCACTAGGTTCACATCCAACACTGCACACCACTAGGTTCACATCCAACACTGCACACCACTAGATTCACATTTAACACTGCACACCACTAGATTCACATTTAACACTGCACACCCCTAGGTTCACATCCAACACTGCACACCACTAGATTCACATTTAACACTGCACACCACTAGATTCACATTTAACACTGCACACCACTAGGTTCCCATCCTACACAGCACACAACTAGATTCACATTTAACATTGCACACCACTAGATTCACATTTAACAATGCACACCACTAGATTCACATTTAACACTGCACACCACTAGGTTCACATCCAACAGTGCACACCACTAGATTTACATCCTACACAGCACACCACTAGATTCACATCCAACAGTGCACACCAATAGATTCACATCCTACACAGCACACCACTAGATTAACATCCAACAGTGCACACCAATAGATTCACATCCTACACAGCACACCACTAGATTCACATCTTACACAACACACCACTAGATTCACATCCTACACAGCACACCACTAGATTCACATTTAACACAGCACACCACTAGATTCACATACTACACAGCACACCACTAGATTCACATCCTACACAGCACACCACTAGATTCACATCCTACACAGCACACCACTAGATTCACATCCTACACAGCACACCACTAGGTTTACATCCAACAGTGCACACCACTAGGTTCACATACAGCACAGCACACCACTAGATTCACATTTAACACTGCACACCACTAGATTCACATTTAACACTGCACACCACTAGGTTCACATACAGCACAGCACACCACTAGATTCACATTTAACACTGCACACCACTAGATTCACATTTAACACTGCACACCACTAGGTTCACATCCAACAGTGCACACCACTAGATTCACATACAGCACAGCACACCACTAGGTTCACATACAACACAGCACACCACTAGGTTCACATACAACACAGCACACCACTAGGTTCACATCCAACAGTGCACACCACTAGGTTCACATCCAACACTGCACACCACTAGGTTCACATCCAACACTGCACACCACTAGGTTCACATTTAACACTGCACACCACTAGGTTCACATCCAACACTGCACACCACTATGTTCACATCCAACACAGCACACCACTAGGTTCACATTTAACACTGCACACCACTAGATTCACATTTAACACTGCACACCACTAGGTTCACATCCAACACTGCACACCACTAGGTTCACATTTAACACTGCACACCACTAGATTCACATTTAACACTGCACACCACTAGGTTCACATCCAACAGTGCACACCACTAGGTTCACATACAACACAGCACACCACTAGGTTCACATACAACACAGCACACCACTAGGTTCACATACAACACAGCACACCACTAGGTTCACATCCAACAGTGCACACCACTAGGTTCACATCCAACACTGCACACCACTAGGTTCACATCCAACACTGCACACCACTAGGTTCACATTTAACACTGCACACCACTAGGTTCACATCCAACACTGCACACCACTAGGTTCACATCCAACACAGCACACCACTAGTTTCACATTTAACACTGCACACCACTAGATTCACATTTAACACTGCACACCACTAGGTTCACATCCAACACAGCACACCACTAGGTTCACATTTAACACTGCATACCACTAGGTTCACATCCAACACTGCACACCACTAGGTTCACATTTAACACTGCACACCACTAGATTCACATCCTACGCAGCACACCACTAGATTCACATCCAACACTGCACACCACTAGGTTCACATCCAACACTGCACACCACTAGGTTCACATTTAACACTGCACACCACTAGGTTCACATCCAACACTGCACACCACTAGGTCCACATACAACACAGCACACCACTAGGTTCACATCCAACACTGCACTCCACTAGGTTCACATCCAACACTACACACCACTAGGTTCACATCCAACACTGCACACCACTAGGTTCACATCCAACACTGCACACAACTAGGTTCACATCCAACACTGCACACCACTAGGTTCACATCCAACACTGCACACCACTAGGTTCACATTTAACACTGCACACCACTAGATTCACATTTAACACTGCACACCCCTAGGTTCACATCCAACAGTGCACACCACTAGGTTCACATACAACACAGCACACCACTAGGTTCACATACAACACAGCACACCACTAGGTTCACATACAACACAGCACACCACTAGGTTCACATCCAACAGTGCACACCACTAGGTTCACATCCAACACTGCACACCACTAGGTTCACATCCAACACTGCACACCACTAGGTTCACATTTAACACTGCACACCACTAGGTTCACATCCAACACTGCACACCACTAGGTTCACATCCAACACAGCACACCACTAGTTTCACATTTAACACTGCACACCACTAGATTCACATTTAACACTGCACACCACTAGGTTCACATCCAACACAGCACACCACTAGGTTCACATTTAACACTGCATACCACTAGGTTCACATCCAACACTGCACACCACTAGGTTCACATTTAACACTGCACACCACTAGATTCACATCCTACGCAGCACACCACTAGATTCACATCCAACACTGCACACCACTAGGTTCACATCCAACACTGCACACCACTAGGTTCACATTTAACACTGCACACCACTAGGTTCACATCCAACACTGCACACCACTAGGTCCACATACAACACAGCACACCACTAGGTTCACATCCAACACTGCACTCCACTAGGTTCACATCCAACACTACACACCACTAGGTTCACATCCAACACTGCACACCACTAGGTTCACATCCAACACTGCACACAACTAGGTTCACATCCAACACTGCACACCACTAGGTTCACATCCAACACTGCACACCACTAGGTTCACATTTAACACTGCACACCACTAGGTTCACATACAACACAGCACACCATTAGGTTCACATTTAACAATGCACACAACTATAATCACATCCAAAAATGCACATAACTCGAACCACATTCAACAAAGCACACAACTAGAATTAGATTCAACACTGCATACAAATAGAATCACATTAAAAAATGCACACTACTAGATTCACATTCAACAATGCACACAACTAAAATTACATCCAACAATGGCCATAACTAGATTCACATTCAACAATGCACACAACTAAAATTACATCCAACAATGGCCATAACTAGATTCACATGCAACAATGCAAACAACTAGATTTCCAATCAGTAAATTATTAACACAGCTGCATTGAACATTTACTTTTACATTCAACATAAGAAACTTAATCTATACAAACCTGCAAAATTAGAATCAACCTTAAAAACTAATTCAAAAAGACTCACAAACTCATCAGAACTAACTTGTGGTAGGCCAAGCCCCCCCCCCCCCTCACATGACGCAATCCCTAGCACATGAATTATTCATAGGATCTTGTCAAGGCTGTTCCCTCAGATAAACCCTTATGTACTCACTAGCTATTGAAGCTGCCAATGTGTAGCAGGTAGACACTCATCTAAGGATCCAAATGTCATGGGTTCAAATCTGAATAGAGGCTGAATTTGTTTTTTAAATGACCCCTGCTTACAGGTCACCCCAGACTTTACTGGACACTACAATGACCACTGACCTGTAATCCAATCCTGTAAAGTGCGGATCTCCTGTCACTGAACATTTAAAACCAGTTTCCAGCATGACAACAATCTGTGGGAGCCAATCATCATAAATATTAGCATACACAAACATACTCAAACACACAGACACATGCATGCATGCACAAGAATGCACAAACACACATAAGAATGCACATACATACACAAACCCATAGACACATACATGAATCGACAAAAATACAATCACACACACACGCACGGGCGTGCACACACGCACTCACGCACACACACCTTCAAATCAAATACAGACTGCCCATTCCCCAATCAAAGCAGCTTCCACAATCAGTGGAGAGACAGAGATCTCTCCATAGATTGGTGCCTGAGTGTTTTGGTGGATTATTGCATGAGTGTAATGGTGGATTATTGCCTCAGTATAATTGTGGATTATTGCCTGAGTGTATTGCTAGATTAGTGCTTGGTCTGAATGTATTGGTGTATTGATGTCTGAGTGCATTGATGTATTGATGTCTGAGTGCATTGGTGTATTGATGTCTGAGTGCATTGGTGTATTGATGTCTTAGTGCATTGGTGTATTGATGTCTGAGTGCATTGGTGGACTGGTGCCTGAGTCTATTGTCAATGTTTATCTTGGTCTAGGACTTCCTCCTTTCCTAGCCTGTTATTCTTCGAGGCTTTTGGTTTTGACCAAACCTCTATAGCTTTAACTGTTCGTTTACTTCATGAGGTATCTGTCCTGTCTTTCCTCAAACAGTATACAGTTATGATGTTCCAAGCTTGTGCAAAATACATACATGAAACACATACACTTTGTTGAAGGGAACACAGGCCTGTACAGAACACATACACAGATACATACATCAAACACATACACAGATACATACATCAAACACATACACAGATACACACATCAAACACTTACACAGACACACACATCAAACACATACACAGATACACACATCAAACACATACACAGATACACACATCAAACACATACACAGATAAATACATCAAACACATACACAGATACACACATACATACTCAGAAATTACACACCTATACTGAAAAAAAAGAATCAAGAAATGCACACATAGATAAGGGCTGAGACATCAAAGACCGCTAACTTTTTACTAAGAGACATCAATTTAAATTTCTTTTTTTTTTTTTGATTGTCCCAAATCTCAGCAGTGAAATAAAACCATTAAAGGTATGAGGTCAATAACAAAATAGGTCAGTAAACTGTATCTTGACACGCGGAACATAATTATAACCAAATGTGATGAGTCAGAAAAATCCAAAGATCTCTGCATAATTACTGATATGACATTTAAAATAGAGCTATGTCTACAACAGCGGCGTCCGTGGCTTAGATGTAGCCAGTCCGACCCGCGATCAAAACCCACTGCTGGCTGCATGGATTTTTATCGCAGTATCAGGCATCGCAGGTTGATCTTGCCTAAAATGGGTCCTGGAAAAGCAAAGATGGCCGGCATAATGCTGACCACATTACCCACCTTGTGCCGATTGGTCTGTAAAAATATGGGTGCTCTTGTCATATGCTCGATGCACCTAAGAGGCATGAAAAAGGATCTTTACTTACTTTAAAAAAAATTTTTTTTACTATATATATATTTTTTTACACTGAGCGAAGTGAGGTCACAAGTATCTTATTATGAACCATGAAAGAAACCAACATCCTGGATTCCAAAACAGTGAATTGATGGAGAAACTAGACATTGATCTACACATGAACAGCAACAAAGAACCTACACATGGATCTACACATGAACAGCAACAGAGAACCTACACACTGATCTATACATAAACAGCAACAGAGAACCTACACACTGATCTATACATGAACAGCAACAGAGAACCTACACACTGATCTATACATGAACAGCAACAGAGAACCTACACATGGATCTACACATGAACAGCAACAGAGAACCTACACATGGATCTACACATGAACAGCAACACAGAACCTACACATGGATCTACACATGAACAGCAACAGAGAACCTACACACTGATCTATACATGAACAGCAGCAGAGAACCTACACACTGATCTATACATGAACAGCAACAGAGAACCTACACACTGATCTATACATGAACAGCAACAGAGAACCTACACACTGATCTATACATGAACAGCAACAGAGAACCTACACACTGATCTATACATGAACAGCAACAGAGAACCTACACATGGATCTACACATGAACAGCAACACAGAACCTACACACTGATCTACACATGAACAGCAACAAAGAACCTACACACTGATCTATACATGAACAGCAACAGAGAACCTACACACTGATCTATACATGAACAGCAACAGAGAACCTACACACTGATCTATACATGAACAGCAACACAGAACCTACACACTGATCTATACATGAACAGCAACAGAGAACCTACACACTGATCTACACATGAACAGCAACAAAGAACCTACACACTGATCTATACATGAACAGCAACAGAGAACCTACACACTGATCTATACATGAACAGCAATAGAGAACCTACACACTGATCTACACATGAACAGCAACAAAGAACCTCAGAAGCCTTATGTGCCACTAGGCATAACGAGAACTGATGATGACATGGACAGCAACATAGAACCTACAGTAAATGATCTATACATGAACAGCAAGAAAGAACCTACAGTAAATGATCTACACCTGAACAGCAACATAGAACCTACAGTAAATGATCTATACATGAACAGCAACATAGAACCTACAGTAAATGATCTACACATGAACAGCAAGAAAGAACCTACAGTAAATGATCTACACATGAACAGCAACATAGAACCTACAGTAAATGATCTACACATGAACAGCAACATAGAACCTACAGTAAATGATCTACACATGAACAGCAACATAGAACCTACAGTAAATGATCTACACATGAACAGCAACATAGAACCTACAGTAAATGATCTACACATGAACAGCAACATAGAACCTACAGTAAATGATCTACACATGAACAGCAACATAGAACCTACAGTAAATGATCTACACATGAACAGCAACATAGAAACCTACAGTAAATGATCTACACATGAACAGCAACATAGAACCTACAGTAAATGATCTACACATGAACAGCAACATAGAACCTACAGTAAATGATCTACACATGAACAGCAACATAGAACCCACAGTAAATGATCTACACATGAACAGCAACATAGAACCTACAGTAAATGATGCTTGCTTGCGCTGATCATCCCAGTCTCTGGAACAGATCTTGTGGTTGCAGGAGTCCTTGACTGACACAACTGTAATCACATAAAGGAGATTATATCACTGACCCGAGACAATGTCTGGAGACATGTTGGGGGAGAAGGCAACTTATCACAGACACCTCACACAGATAATTGACACAAATACAACCCAAAGACAGTTGACACAAACATATCAGACAACTATGACAAACAACACACACAGGCAGTTGACACAAACATCACACAGACAATCAATAAAAATACAGCACAGAGACACTCAACACAAACACTTCCCACAGACATTCAACACAGACACACTGCAGAGATAGTTGACATTGTAGCTACAACATTAGAAGAGAAGATAGCAACATGTCGCTGCTGGAAAGATTATAACAAGAAAGACGGACAACACCAACATAATTTTGTTGACAATTACTGAAACCTCATTAAACATACTTGGAATACTATCACATGATTTCAGAGTCATCACCCACACACATGTGCTATAGAGTGGATGGCAAATGTCTAAAGTGAAGAAACTTGTCTGAAGTTTGAGGACAGAGCTGTGAGGACTATATACTCCTCAGGGAGCGTGATTAAGAGACAGTGAGATTTGAACCCTTTCTGACCGAAACAGAACTCCTTGGTCTATTAAAAGCCACAATGTACTTTGTGGAGCCAGGAAACAGGGCTTGTTAATTGGATTTACAATTAAACATGGATCCCAAGACAGATGTCTAATGAACCTAAAGACTATTGAGGCAAGGGACACTGCCACAGATGGAATCTTTGCAAACTGCTTCAGAATCATCACATACATCTCTGGAATCTAGCTGAACTGTCTTAGAATCATGACATACATCCTTGGAATCTTTGCAAACTGCTTCAGAATCATCACATACATCTCTGGAATCTAGCTGAACTGTCTTAGAATCATGACATACATCCTTGGAATCTTTGCAAACTGCTTCAGAATCATCACATACATCTCTGGAATCTAGCTGAACTGTCTTAGAATCATGACACACTCCCTTGGAATCTTTGCAAACTTCTTCAGAATCATCACATACATCTCTGGAATCTAGCTGAACTGTCTTAGAATCATGACATACATCCTTGGAATCTTTGCAAACTGCTTCAGAATCATCACATACATCTCTGGAATCTAGCTGAATTGTCTTAGAATCATGACATACATCCTTGGAATCTTTGCAAACTGCTTCAGAATCATCACATACATCTCTGGAATCTAGCTGAATTGTCTTAGAATCATGACATACATCCTTGGAATCTTTGCAAACTGCTTCAGAATCATCACATACATCTCTGGAATCTAGCTGAACTGTCTTAGAATCATGACATACATCCCTGGAATCTAGCTGAACTGTCTTAGAATCATGACATACATCCCTGGAATCTAGCTGAACTGTCTTAGAATCATGACATACATCCCTGGAATCTAGCTGAACTGTCTTAGAATCATCACATACATCCCTGGAATCTAGCTGAACTGTCTTTGAATCATCACATAAATCCCTGGATCCTAGCTGAACTGTCTTAGAATCATCACATACATCCCTGGAATCTAGCTGAACTGTCTTAGAATCATCACATACATCCCTGGAATCTAGCTGAACTGTCTTAGAATCATGAAATACATCCCTGGAATCTAGGTGAGCTGTCTTAGAATCATGACATACATCCCTGGAATCTAGCTGAACTGTCTTAGAATCATCACATACATCCTTGGAATCTAGGTGACCTGTCTTAGAATCATCACATACATCCCTGAAATCTAGCTGAACTGTCTCAGAATCACCGCCCAAATTCTAGGAGTCTCAGACTGTCAAAATAACCTCCACATCCCTGGCTTGTCAGTGATGGCCTGATTCGGGTGGTACCCACCTCTATCTCCATTCTCATACTCGTACAAAAAGTGTCCACATATCTCCTAGTCTTTCAAAAACAAAATACTCACTCTCTA